TATTATGTCCTGATACATAAAACCATAGAACTCAGGGGGTGTACTTTCTTTTTCACAACAACTGTAAATTCAACAAAGAAGTAGCTTATACCTGAATGTGAGATAGCCAAAAGAAAATAAGTAATTTATACCGCCATTTTATCTGGTGCAGAGACTGAGTAAAACACGTAGAAAGGAACTCATGGTCTATTACATACATTTAAGACCAACAACAACAAGCCATTTTCACACAAAGCTGTTCTATCCCAACCCAGTGACTCTGAGGAAAGCTGCACTGGACCTGTATCTGTCTCATCCCCCAAATATTTTGAATGCTTTGTACTTTGGGATTAGCACTGGGTCTGTCCTATAAAATTCTGTAATTCTGAAAGAGCTGAGCTCTAACCCTGATCCCCACTGAGGAATGTAAGGACGTTACTTTGGAATAAGCCACTGCACTCAATTAATTTATTTCAGATCATCTGAGCACAGGCTGACGCTATAAAATGCACTGTACTTGTGATTCATATCTGATAATGTTAAACTTTTTACAGTGCATTTGGCATTTTAGTTGATGTAAACAACAACCCTGGATGGAACGCAACCACTCTAGGTTGCTGAGACACACATCTTTATGTGCCTGCATGCGTGTACAAATTAAAGACAAAATAAATACAAGTTAGTGACTTTGTCTTTCCAACCTATTTAAGCATTATTAGAGGTTGAAAATACAAACTTTGAAGGGAAAAGAGAACTCATCTTGCATTTATCCTATTTTGTCTTAAGATTAATGGCAATATTACATTCTGTTTTGTTATGGTCATGCTCCAAAACTACATGCTCAATACATCTGCAAGTGATGCTTTTCGGTTCCTGTTTTATCCACCCCTTGTGCTGTCGAGCAAATGAAGAATACTGAGTAATTTTTCTTAGTACTGCCTTAAAAAAAAAAAACAGAAAAGAAGCCCACCGTAATCAGAGGTATGTCTGATGGGAATACAAGGCAGGGCCTTCTCAGTGGCTGCTTCCAATCCTCACAACTATTTGCCAAAGGAAGCCTGCCTAGTTCCCTCTGTGTGTTACTCTTCTGCCAGTAATCAGTCGGATGTTTATTTTGGTGTACAAGAGATTTAATGCTATGCTGGGGAGTGCTGTTTGCTTTATTGTTATGCGTTATATTTATTGTTAAATTAAAACATTTTATCTGTTTTCTGTTCTTCTTAATGTAACAACATACAAATAGTCCTGCTTGATCAGGTGATTGTTCAATCAGATGCCTCCGGAGAACTGACAGAGGAGACAGAAACGTATCTTTCTCCTACCGTTTCTTATGCTACAACTGCTATCTGGAGGCTTGCATCCCAAAACCAGAGGTAACATGGAATCTCCAAGACTGATAACTCCTAACTACAGATTTACTCAATACCTTTTTAAAGCTATCCAAATTACTGGCCACTGTCATCCTTTGAGGGAGTTAGTTCCACAGAGCAACTATACACTATGTGAAGAAGTATTTCCTTCTGTTTATTCTAAGTCTCCTTTCAATCAGCTTCTGTGGATGACCCTGGTCCTGGTGTTTTAGGAACAGGAGGAAAAAAAACTTCTCCCTACCCGTTCCCTCCAGGCCAGCATGATCTTATACACCTTCCTTCCAAGGAAAGGCTGGAACATGAGGACCTCTCCCTCAACTGTTTTCCTAAGCTACAAGGCCCACATGTTCCAGCCTTTCCTTGGAAGGAAGGTGCTTGAGCCCCCATATCATTTGGGTTGCCCTCTTTTACACTTCCTCCAGCTGTGTTTTATTTGTTTTCAAAGATGTGTGACTTTCAGAATTGTACACATTATTTGGTATGTGTACATACCACAGATATGCGTAAGGGGAATTGTTGGGCACATTGAAATAATTTGTTTAACAGGGAATAAACACAAAAAGCAAACAAACATAGGAAGATAACATTTATATAAAAAAAAATATGATCAGTGAGTGTCTCACTGCTATACTAAAGTCTCTGAGATGGGTCCAGAACATATCAGCAGCATATACAAGTTTACTGAAAACAGAAGAATAGTCAGATCAAGACCAGACTGATTTGAACAGATTCCAGGGGTGGCCAAGTAGCTCTGGATCTAACCTTGTGAAGTAAATCTTCAAATTTCTAAAAGAAGTTATCTCTAAGCCATCGTTCCCCAGACTGATACTCTAAAAATGTGTTGGATTTCAGCTGTCACCCTCTCCAGCCAGCATGTCCAAGGTCATGCTGTGTAAGTAGAAGTCTAGTTACCTGCAGGGCACTAGCGTGGGGAGAACTATTCTATATTTAAACCCTGTACAGCTTAAAAGGGTCAAGTGTCAAATAGTGTGATGAATTAGCCAGAAAAATCATGCAATCCAACTGGACAAAGCCAGTTAAATGTCTAACTACTAGTGACGCTCTTCTTTAGGAACAGCCAGGAACTGAAAGATGTTTGAATCAGATACTCGTCCTTAACTTCTGGATATTTTAAAGGAATAAAATGCATAAATGTATAAATATCCATAAACTAACTAACTCCAACAGAGAGACAATGTTCTGCACATATTATGTGATCTGGGGAGTAAAAGTGACTCACCTTCAAATGTCTACATTCTACATTACATAGAGAACACATATGTGGAAATATTCTTGGAGATGCAGCATAATAATCATTCATCATTGATGGAGTTGGCAGCCTCTTCATTTTCTGGGCATCTGCCTGTGAAAAAACTGGGAGCCAAGAGGCCTTCACAACACCAAATGGAGACTCTATAGGACCTTCAGACTCTTTCTGGAAAGTTTTCTCACCAGTACTAGGTCCAGGGGGAGCACTAGGGTTAGGTCTGGATTCATGATGAATCCTGTCACGCCTGTTCATACCCCCAAGTATTTCAGGTACAAAAGGAGGTGGTGGCTGGTTCATAGTTGGCATCATAGGCTGAGCCACAGATGGGGGAGGCAAAGCTTGCTGAACAGCAGGAGGGATCCCAGGCTGAGGTATGGATGGTACCACAGGTGGCATTATGGGTTGGACTGCTGGAGGTACCCCAGCTCCTGCTGAAGGGAGACATAATCCAGACATCTTGTTAGATGTATCCATGGAGAAAAAAGACTGGTTATTTGGTGTGCTTCTTTGGAATCCCATCTGCCGGATTAGTTCTTCAACTGCATTCATCTGTTTGCTGGTTACGCCGGATGATGCAGCCTGCTGTGCCTGAAATCCTTTCATGCTGTCTTTAGGTGGTATATCAGAACCGTAGACTTTCACTTCAAGGGGACCTTCATCATATCCATATTTGCTTTCATGCCCGTAATCAATTACTTTGCTCTTAACCATGGAACCACGACCATCGTCGCTGCGAAAATTTTCTTTTTCTCTGCTCTGAGGAGGTAAACTCGGCAACTGATGAGCCATTTTTCTCATACGGATGTCCCTTAAAATTAAAGGCATGTTTTCAGGGGTCAACTGATCATCTGGATAACGACTAAGTTCTTCCAGGTCTTCATTAGACAATCCAAAGCTTGCCAAAATGCTTGAGGCACTCTCATTTGTGTAACGGCTTGGAACAGTTGTGGGATGTTCTGCCATCCTTCCTGGGATAGGTTGACTCCGACTATTATTTCCAGGGGGAAACGGAGTGTCCCAATGTGAACCGCATCCCTCTACCTTCTGCTGCTGCTGCTGCTGCTGCTCCATATTCAGTCTCTCTGCTGGCTGTCTTGGATCCATTCTGTGTGGAGCCACCTGAACATTTGGCCTTGGAAATCCTGCCCTCATTTCTGATCCCATGAACCTTTGGGGCATTCCATCAGCAGAATTAGGTGGGAGCTGCCTTTGAAGACCACCTGGTCCAGGTCCCGGCCCCTGAAAAGGCCCACGTGGGATTGGATCAGGTACATTAGGTCCCCTTGGCCTTGACGGCATGTTTCCTCTAGGGTTAAACATGGCAAGTTTCAGGAACGCCTCATTTAACAAAGGATAGGATGCTATAGAACAGTTTGAAGCAACTGAGTTCAACTGATGAAGAGCCAACTGTGTCTTAATCTGAGCAAGCTGTAAAGGAGGAAGGCCCAACAGAAATGGGCTGACAATGCCAAGGTTCAGAGAATTCACAAGAGGTGCAAAATTTTCCAAGAACACCACAAAGCTGAAAGTTAAAACACACAAAAATTAATTACATTTATTTTTTAATCTACTTTCTAAAGTGGTTTTACTGCTTGTAAGCATATTGCTGGGAAACTCTTTGTTTTCTTTTTAAAAATAATTATTCATTCAGCAAAGTGACTGCTTTTACCAATTGTCAATTCATTTGTTTTACAGTAGTATGCTACTTCTGCACTATGTACTTCAAATCTAAAGCTGGGTTCACACATCACACTGAGGCAGAATGTGTGGAATAAAGCCCAGTGATTGGGTTCACATGACTAGCTAAACCAAAACCCAACAAACCACATTATAGCTAATACAATGTGTGCAACCTAAAAATCTTCATATTCAACTCAACGCCAACTTGAACAAAAGGTTTCAAACGCTGCATCTTTGTGATTTTATTATATTATCTCTGAATATAAAGAACATTTTATTTACAATATAATTAGGGGGAAAAAGCATAATACAAAAGTGTACATATAATTGAACCTCCAGTGCTCTGCATTTACTAGAGAAAAAAATATACGGAATTCAATACATATGCACTAACACACATAGAATCAACTGTACCTCCAGTGTGGTAGTAGCAACATTCTACCTGTGACCTAATACATTTGCAAAAGACATTTTCTACTTAACTGCAAAACAGCTAGCAGGTAACTATTATCTTAAACAAGAAAGAACTTAACAAGCGGAATAAATATGAGAAGACGCAAAGAGCTCAGTGCAACAATTGCTAAACAATTCGCTAGCTAATCTTCTGCTATTTAACCTAGATTTCTTTTCCTTCAATTTGACCTCATTCTGTAAAGCTAAAATGGTTCTCAACCTCTCCTTTCCTAGGGAGATCAGACATAGTCAGTATATGTTTGCATGCACTGCTCTTGCTATTCACAGGAGGAACCAGTGGTGAACACATGGCACTGACAGGGAACATTTGCTACTTGCCTAGTTGAGAGTTAAGTGTGGCACGTGGATAAACCAGTTGGTCATTCAGAATTGGTAACATTTTACCCAATACGGCATTACGTTTTGAGGTTAGTCGATCAACATTGTAAACCACCGTTGCTCCCTTTCTCAGATCAGTGAAATCTTGCTGACCTATTAAGAGAAACTAAGGAACCTTCTGTGTTACGTACACCCTTACTATTGCCAAGTGGAAGTTCTTTCCCTCCTTTAGTGGATTAAATTGCAATGGATATAAATAGCCAGAGGGCCATGAATGAATTAAAAAGAATATGAAACTATAGTAATAATAAGGATTTTTACATTTTTTTCCCAAGGAAAACAGAATTGCAAGAATGCCCCTGCCCCCCAAAATTAAAGATATACCAAAGTACCAAAAAGCGAGACCTGCCAACTGCTTCTTTTTCTGGAATCTGAGCACAATGTATCTTAGAGTGTACCATCTGGCGGGGAGGGGGAGTTGAAAACAGAAAGTGTCTAACAGAAGAAGTAAGTTATATTTATTCACAGCAATTCTATACTCTGAGTGGTGGACAAGGTCATCAACATAACCACCATCGCCCCGCTGTTCCTCATTAAGGGCCAAAGGCTTGCTGAAAAAGACCAAGTGAACCCGGCAGCAGCGGGTTTCACGTTACAGGGGCACCTGCCCTCCAGCCCACCCCACACCCCTCTCACCCTTCTGCATAACATTCAAACAACACTAAGCACAGGAATTACCTGACGGGCATTCTAAAAGGGAAAATATTCCACTAGAGTTGCTTTTCTTCTTTTCCCGCTGTCAGACCCCTCGCAATCAATCCCTCGCACTGCCAGTTCACTTGCTTCGTTTCTGCCATTACAGTAGAGAGGGAGGGAGGGAGGGAGGGAGGGAGGGAAGGTTGGGAGGTGAACCATCAGGCGCAGATGGGCCGTTATCTGGCTCTCAGGAACGCCCAAGGTCATATCAAATCAACGTGGGAACCTGAGAACATCTCCGACATGCGCAAGAGAGATTCAAAGACAGAGGGGGGTGAAATGGGAGTGGGGTAAAACTAAGTTTTGGCGCATGCAGGACTCAGTTCCAGCTATGTTTCTAGAGCTGTTCACTACTTTCCAATAAGTGAACTTTCCTTCGAACCTGCATTGGATTCAATGAGAGTTGCTTTCATTGGGAACTGAGTACCGCGGTTCTTACACATACTTTTTCATACTGTATTTTCTACTGAACTGGAAAAATACAGCAATATGTTGAAAGTGGACACAGCAAGGAAGGGAAACAAAGGTATGTTCTAATTTATGTGCCTTCTATGCAGGCAGGCTTTGCTTCCAGCAACCACCCCAGTGGCCAGCTTTCCCCATTCCCTCCCTTAAGCCACATTTTTGGGTCAGTAGCTGCGGGGAAGGGGGGGGGTTTCCTCCATTCTGAGATAAACCTAAAAAAACCAAAGCATCAACAGCTCAGCTAATGGGGGCTCTGCTTCCTTTTGTTCATTGATTTCTGGACTCCCTGATCAGCCCTGAACAGTCGCTTCTACCTACTGAAAGTCATACGGGAACTGTCAAACTAAGACACCAACTCACCCAGAGTTACGCTGGCAGGCAACACATATCAGCAATACGATTCATGAGTGACCCTGGTTCTTATGAACCCAACGTGGCCAAGAGAGGGGAGCTCATGGCTGCAGAGACAGGCAACATGATTCTTGCTCTGTCCAGAAAGCCACAGCTAAGCCAGACCACTGCTCCTTAGGAGACTATCTACTCATCTGTTCAGTCTTATTCTTCATTTATGTAACCATTACAATATAATGTAATCATGGCCTGCCTTCTGGGTTTAAAGTAGACCCTCAATTTAACAGGCCAGGGGGAGGGGCGTCCATTAAATCTGAATGTACTTAACTGATGCAATTTGTCATCTACATCAGTGTCCACTGCTCGCATAAATTACGTCAATTGTCTGAACTGCTTTGGAAACAACAGATTTTGCCCACTGCTTGGGGACAAAGTTCAAAGTAAATTTTCTCCACTTCATCTGAGATCCAGAGAATCAAGGTTTTGTCGTACTTCTCAGGTAGGTTATAAACTGAAGAACCATTCACTGTGAGACACAAAGTTAGCAACTGGGCTATTACTTGAAAGAACAGGATCAAACTGAACAAGACTGCCACCACGAAGTTGTAACATTAAAAAAAAAAGAAGGAAGTCTTTAAAGGTTCTTGGTCCATAATCATATATCCATGGGGGACAGTTCCAAAATTATGGGCTCATCCCAATTCCACCTCTAGTCTAAATGCTTAACACTTCAAAGTACAGAAAGATTTATACAGATGCATTCAGTGCTTTAAATAACCTGATTGCTGCAAAACATTCAGAGCCTTAAATGTCAGCTTCAGTGTTTGACACCAAGGCAGAGAAAAAGATCCAATACAATTATTGCAATACGACCTGGATATCCTGCCCCACGAGTATACTGGTAGCTCTATTTTGAGATTTCCATGCTGCATTAAGAGCAAAACAGTAGAGATGTGCAGCAGGACAAATCTGGAGGGAGAACTATTTAGGGTATTCAGGATGAAGTGTTGGCCCATCCTTGAATCAAATGTATCTTTTCCTGGGACTCTACACCTAGTGCCATGAGATCCCAACTCCCTCTCTAAGGAGCTGACAGTGGGGCGTTTGTGCTTCTGTGAACTCCAAATCATGTTCTTCCCTTTGAATCCAGATCCCTTCACTACCCTACAAAAGAGCATAGGCAGCATTTACAGTAATCCAGTCCAGATGCAATTCAGTGTTCACAGAATTCAATTCTGGTCCACTTTATCCAAGTGGAGAACACAGCTGGCAAACTATCAAGCTGCCTAACTGATTTTTTTTTTAAGAGACAGACCCTCATTCAGAACTATTTGCAAACCATATCAGGATCTACCTTCTTACAAGCCAATCATACCTGTACCTGATTTGGATTAAATTTCAGTTTGCCCTCATTCATCCCAGAAATGCCTCCAAAGACTTGGGGAGGATTTCACTACTTCCTTGGGATTGGTGAACGGAAATTAAGAGACTAGAGCTGCTATCTGTACAATGATGACACTTCAACCTATATCCCCAAAGGAGCAATTTCACCTAAGTGTTAAAAAGCATGAGACAAGATAAAAGACCAATGGGACAGGACAAAAGAGAAACATACCACAGAACCAACCTGACCCTGCATGCTCAAACCCAACTTTAGGCACAAGGCCAGGAAAAGAAATGATCCTGTTCCTGAAGGCCCCCAGGGAGTCAAATTAACCAGCAGGGTTTGTTTCTTTGGCCAGACAACTGGAGAAAAGATAAAAAAGTACACACGTGTCCACATTAGGGATCATACTTTCTTGCCTCTCTTCCCACCCCCAAGTTTTCCTTCTGCAACAGATTGCAATGCCAGGTGCTTGTGTTTTAGTAAGAGTTTCCTAGATTTCTACACAGCTCTGCAAAAAAGAAAAGATTATCAAAAAGAAGAGACTAGTACAGGAGAATTCACTGGTGCAAGAATATTCTGCAATTTTGATGCATTGAATAAGCAGCTCAGCTAAAAAGCAAAAGGGAAAGGGAAGAAAACAAGCAACACCACTGGTTATGAATCAAAATGTTTAATGATGTGCGGTTGATACAGATGCAAAGATTATTCTTTTTCTATACACACGTCTTTAAACAGCAAATTAGAATCAGTTCTTAGCTGGTTCTACGGAAACTCCATCAACAAAGTGTTCAGCAAATTCTATTAATGAGGAAAGGTTTTGATCGTGTTGCTCACCTCTGTCACCTTAACTGAGCTTTGCAATGAAACTTTAAGGAACTACAGTTCGCAGGACTCTGCATCCTATCGCCATGGCTCAAGAGATGTTCCAGCTCACAGCGGCTAGAGCGCCGTTAGCTGCAGAATCAGAACAAGGCCTACGTGGGAAACTCAGGCCACTGGTCAGGTGCAAAGGGGAACACAGCAGGGGATCCCCGATCTTTAACTCCCCAAGCAGAAGGTGGCAGGCAGAGTCACATCGCTCGTCTCTGCACCTCAGAAGGTGCTTGGCAGCCAAAGACCGCTCTGGTTGTGAAGTTATGTTCTGGTACTCGCTCAAAGGCATCACCAGCCTTGTCCCCACGGCCTGCTGTCACCCCAGGGGCAGTCTGCGGCCGGAGGACAGGCGCGCGGGAAGAGCCCCAGCGCGTTTGTCTCGCTTTGTTTTCGGCAGCGCCAGAGCAAGCCAACCGGCCGGGGGG